TAAGATTCAGGCAAAATCCGTCCTTGAACTAGAGAATGATCTTTATTTCGCTTCAAGACTTAATGATATACATATCCCAGAGAGGCTACGGGAAGAAACAGTGGGGTCTGAATGTACTCGAAGGGTGAACCGTGCGCGCCCTTTATATTAACAAGGTCAGGTCAAGTGAATGACTACTTGGATCCTGTATGCGCGTTTACGAGACGTAGCAAATATCGATAGTGCGAGATTCTAGAGTCCTGGCTAAATGAGCCTATTTTCCTATTTAACACAATGTTCAGAAATTAAAATGTCTAACATGGTCTCAAGAGTCCAGGGATAATATTTTGCGGACTCAAATCATCAGCATTGGTGGCCCCCCGAACGTCATGGTATGGTCGAGAGTGGGGAGGACCAGCCCGCACACAAATAGAATGAGATGACGATACTTACGGAAAATACTATTCTTGCTTTGACTAACAGTCAAACGATTCACATTATTATTATTATCATTATTTACTACGTCACTTATTCGCTCTCTTTTATCCCCACTCTGTGTATAATTATTTTTCGACTTATACAGCAGCTCGTCTATGGTGGAAACTCGGTTCTGTCTAAACGTTCTCGAGTCACTGACTGGTTGAAAATTGAATGCTACCACCAAATAAGAATACTGAAGCAGTTTTTCTGAAACCACGTGCACCATTCAAACTGGCTACCTTCAACGTTCGCACATTTATGCAGGTCGGACAACAGATAGGGCTGGCTATGTTTTTAGAAAGTCTTAATATCGACGTTTTTTGTCTATTTGAGACCCGTATTCAAGACTCTGGTGAAGTACTACGAATTCGCTCTCCATCTATCGCTTCAAAAAGCTTGTTTTACGTGCATCTTCGTCTGGTCTTGTTGACGTTGGTGTCGCACTAAGCGCTAGAGCCGAGGCAGTACTAATCGACTGAATCTCCATTAACAGTCGGTTATGTGCTGTTAGATTAGAAAGTTCCATCAAAGTGAGAAGAAATCGGCGTGAGAAACGATGTCTCTTCGTCATCTCCGCCTATGCTCCGACAGATTGCAGCCCGGATGCAATCAAGAATGAATTCTACTACCAGTTAACTGTTCTTCTCCAGAAAGTACGTCCGACAGATATTGTAGTACTAGCCGGAAACTTGAACGCTCAGGTCGGGCGTCTAGGCACAGAAGAGAGTCGTTTAGGTGGCCGATGGGGACTCGTTGGTCGCAGTTCAGATAACGGGGACCGTCTACTGCAACTTTGCAAAGAACACAACCTGTTTCTGGCTAGCACTAACTTTCGGCACAGTCATCGCCAATGTGCCGCCTGGCGTCCTCCCTCTGCATCTCAAGCCTGGACTCAGATTGATCACATCGCGATCAGCTACCGCTGGCGTGGTTGTGTACAAGACTGCCGTTCCTTTTGTAGTACATATCTGGACTGTGATCATGCCCTGGTCTGCGCCAATCTTACCATACTTTTCAGTGGCCACCGAATTTATGTCAGCGAATTGGTTGAAATTTCTGTTGCTAGTAAGTATCGAAACAAGCTAGCTTTTAGGCTAGCTACCATTCCACCGAAATGTATAGATGAGCATTGGTTGCAACAGCATGACGCCATGAAAATAGCGAGTAAAGCTGCTTGCGGCTTCGCGAAACGTCCCACTTATAAGCAATGGGTTTCTTCTGGTTCCTTACAACTTATTGAAGCGCGTCAGTCTACTCCGGGTGACCGCGGATTTGAATATAAACAAAAATTGTTACTTAGTGAAATTGTGCAACCCTTGCGTAAAGATCGAGAAGCCTGGTGGTCGGAGCGTGCTAACAAGTTGGGAGCAGCAGCTGCATTCGGTAACTGCCGAAAGCTTTTTCAACTCATCCAAGTCACTGGGAGCAAGAAGTCTGGTGTGAATGAGACAGTCTGTGAAGATGACGGGATACCGATCACTAAATCTACCGACGCCTTGAACAATGGGCAGAGTTTTTTGAGGGGCAGTTTAACTGTTCTTCCCTCCATAGCCTATGGCGACTGATCCACCTAAGGAGGAGGTCTGCAAGGAACTCCAACTCTCGAAGTGCCACAAATCAGTGGGTCCAGGTGACTTACCTCCGGCCCTTTTCAAATAAGGTGGGAACTTCCTGGTTATGGAACTGACTGAGTTATCTACAAAGGTCTGGTAATTAGAGAGTGTTCAAACATCGTGGAATGAGTCGATAGTTGTTCCTATCTTTAAAAAGGGTTCACACCATCGATCCAACAACTATCGGAGGATACGTCTACTTCCAATCGCGTCCAAACTGTTGGCTTCCTTCATACTTCGTAGGTTGTTCAAAACCCTAGAAAGATTGACTCGCAAGGAGCAGGCTGGTTTTCGTTCTGGCCGAGGATGTATTGATCATATCTTCGACCTCCGCCAAATGTTAGAACACCGCCATACTCATCACAGGCCAACAATTGTAGTGTCCTTTGACGTCAGGACTGCCTTCAATTCGATGAACATGACTGTTCTCTGGGATTGTCTATTGAAGAAGGGTGTGCCTGAGAAGTTTATTAACATCCAAAAAGCCATATATACAGACACATCACGTAGAGTGAGAGCATACAACCACCTCTCTCCATTGTTCCATTCACGAAGTGGGGTTAGACAGGGTTGCCCAATCTCACCATTCCTCTTCAACTTTGCCATCGATGACATTCTGGAAACAGCTCTGATGGATGTAAGTAATGGTGGTGTGGATCTGTTGTCTAGAGAAAGACTTCTCGACCTTGAGTATGCGGATGATGTTGTCTTATTGTGCGATAGTGCTCAAGCCATACAATCCGCACTTAATCAGTTGGAAACCAGTGTCCGTAAGTATGCTATATGCTTTGCACCTTCGAAGTGCAAAGTACTTCTACAATACTGGCAGGATTCTAATCCTGTACTCAGCCCGGATGGTGAGCAGATAGAGGTAGTCGAGAGGTTCATGTATCTAGGTAACTGCATAAGTGCTGGTAGTGGCGTGAGTGATGAGATGGATTCGCGTATAGTGAAAACCAGAGCGGCTTATGCCAATCTGGACCACCTTTGGTGCCTTCGTGATGTCAGTCTGGCTGTAAAAAGTCGGATCTACAACGTGTCTATGTGAGCACTTTTGCCCTATGGTTGTAAAACATAGCCTCTCCGAGTTAAGGATGTTAGAAGACTCTCTGTGTTTGATCAACGTTGTCTCCGAAGGATTGCTGACATCCAATGGCAGCACCATGTTAGTAATGCTTCATGTGTTCGGGCGCAGAGACGATAACCCAATTGGCATCACCAGCCTGAAACACCGACTTCGGTGGCTTGGATATGTTCTACGAATGTCGTTCCAGAGAATTCCATGTCGTGAATTATTTGCCGACGCTGGGACTGGTTGGAAAAAGCGGGGAGGTGGTCAGTCAATGACATGGTGACGTGGTATGAAAGAAAGCTGCGAAGAGCTGGCTTCTGTTGGTCCCCGACGACTTCCTGGTTGGGGTCTGAGAGATGGTGCAACACAAAGGCTAGAAACGTTATCAGATATGGCTCAGAATAGAAGCCAGTGGTGATCGTGCTGTAACCTTCTTTTACTTTCTTCATAAGAAGTGGTTGTTACTTCCTTAACTGAAAGAATTCTGGTTTTGTGTGGCGCATATATATTTGGTACCCCTTGTACCAATATTTTTGTCGTTAAATAAAGAAAACAATAAATGCATTGGTGGAGCGTCGTGATAAAGATATACGAGACTGGTTACTCAAAGGGATGGAAGAATTATTAAGAGGTGAGAGGAGGATTTGTTCGTCAGAAAGATGTCGGGTGCTGACAGAGATATGAGGGCGGTTGTCACTTGCCGGATGTCCACACCGTGGACAGACATACCTTCTTGAGGGACCTGAACGAGTAGCTGGATTTGTGGTGGTCTTAGCGACATTGGAACGTGACCGCAGAGACAACTGCTTGAGCCCGGTTGCTTAAGGCCTTTTTGATGCGTTAGCTGTGCACTTTATAAGGCCTGAACGCCAGAAACGGAAGTTCATGGGGTAAGGTGAGGCATGATAGTTTTATGGTCGAACTCTTCTAGCCCTTTCTTCCGTTGTTAGAAGACAGCACAGTTGTGGATACTGGTTGTGCGAGGAAAACACCTTACTATTACCACATTCCTCTACAGTTAGCATTATTATATCGCCCTCAGACCTTAAGTTGCTGCTTTTAGTCTTATAGTTCTCGTGTGGTGTGTGCTACTGGTGTCGACAGATATAAGTAGTATGTATCACCAATCGAAAGTGAAATGCCTGAAGGCAGAAGGCTAAGAAGATCGAAGAGAAAAGAACGAGACAGAGAGTGATTGGTGTGGAAGTGAAGAAACAATAAAGTCTGAAACAACTGATTGACATTTTGCAAGTGAAGTGTTTACTGTATGATTCTGAGATTCTACTAAAAGATTCTGTAACTTTGTATTCAAACACATTCGGCTGCTCCGTCTCTGTTCTCGTTCACTATACTCCGACCGACCTGCCTAGTAGTATGGTAGGACCTGAAGGAACATGTGTTCCAGCCAATATAGCTCGGCTGATTCAACAGGATAGGGAAGCTCAACCACCGCGTCAAGGTAGAAGTTATGGCACAAGGATTCATTAGTGGGGAAATAAATGTACATATTTCTCTGTGTGTATGGATACAACTCACAGGTCTAGAAACAGAATAAAAATAAACATGAAGATGTTGGTAGTTTCCTAAGTCATGTACATGAATATTACTGGAAATAATAGGGAATAACATATAAACTACAATTAATCACTACTTCACATTGAGTGAGACAAGACTAATGCAAAAATCCTCAATGAAATACAATTTGCTGATGAATAACATAATGTAAGGTCGATATCGATAGTGAATCAAACAAACGAGAGCGCTGTCATAAAAATACACCTAAATTTTGCCGATAGGTGACTCAAAATTAAATTCCTAGTTATCATCAGTAAATTAGAAAAAGGTTATTTTTATAATTGATTTAATAGACGCAATTAATTGGATTAACAAATGTAACATCTATAAAAAAATAACAAACACGAATAAATGATAGATTCAGGTTTACAACTAGTCTTCTGGGTAAGAGTTACGAATGTAAATGAACAAACTAAAATACGACCGATGAAACCTAAGCATTAATGAATCTCGCAAAATAGGCCATGAGGAACCTACAAGTAAATATACATAAAAAATTTAATAATGCTTACCCCAGCCTACAGCATGTTCCCAGTAACTTGTTTTCCCCTGAATTGCGGAGAACAGTAACGGTAGAGTGCTTTGATGAATAAAAGAAAATATCAGTCTGACAAAACGACATATTAAAGATTGTCTATATGAGTGTTTTAAACAAAAAATTTCACTTTCATGAATAATGAAACTAATGTTTGATGAATAATATGCATATGAATCACACGATTCGTTATGGTCTGTTGTGCTAGATTTCTACTGTTAATCACTCTGACTACTAAAAAGGTTAAAGTAGTAAGTTCATAATGTATAATTATATACTACAATAAAACTGGTTAATATGTTAGCCGTATTCTGTTTTAATCTTTAAAATAAAATAATTTACAAGGGTGTTGTGAAATTGAAATCAAATACGGTAATTCTGAATCAATGGCACCTGGAAGATTCTTCTAATATGATGTGAGAGCTATGCGAACTGGATCGACCGGATGACTAATATACAACATTTTAATAATTATCCTCAGATGAGAGGGAAGTCATGCAAAGATGTACTGGTGAAGATCCTATAAAAATTAGATTACTTTCAAGTACATAAAATTATTAATATTTATTTGAACACGTAAACATTATTAAAAGGGGGCACCAGATACATATGCATCACACAATAACAATGACAGCAGCAGTTATCATTGATTTGTAAGAGGGCTGAGATACTGCCCGGATGCCCACACCGAAGCAGGTGGTTTTCATAAGGGACCACACCCCGAGCCTTTGACCTGCAGTTCTAATCCATAAGGTAATAGCAAACGTCAAGATATGCAGTCCTATGATAGTCGGTGAGGAATAATTGGTTCATACTCCATTTGTTCCCTCAAGATCTTGGAGCACATGTACACCATTGGTTTGCAATCAGGGTTTTCCAACTCCCATAGGTGAATTCTCCATTTCCATCAACCCGGCTAAAGCGCGAACATTCACTTTTCGTCCTCTCAATTTCGTAAACAACACCCCCGCCGCGAGAAGGCAATGAGTAGGCTTTCCCTGGCAGTAGCTCTATACACGTGGCCATGTGAGAGCTATCTCTCTCCACCCTCGGCCGTACCAGGGCAGTGAATTTAGGAATATAACAAAAATACCTTAAAATGGATTAATTAACCTCGTACTAAGTAAATCGATGAAGGTGCAAACATATCTAAACCCAGTGACCGAAATTCACTTAAAAATCATACATGAACTTTGATAGGGATCTCTTCAGAAATATAATATTTGAAGATTTAACATCCTCAACAAAATTTATATACTTATAACTTCCATATTGAGTACTCGCATTACGCCACATAAATATTGGGATGCTTAATCTAATAGCTTAGTAATTAAAGCAGTCTAGAGTAGTATTTCAATGTTAGAAGTTAAACATATTTTGGCGCCGTATGTGGAAGTTGTTGAGACATTTGTGAAATATGTTGGAATCACTGAAGACAGCGTTCCAATATATTAACAACCAGATAATTACTAACCCTGTTAAATGTAAACAAACATTCTCAGACCTCAGGACCTCGTTCCTGAATAACGATGGTTAAAAGTAGAGAATAAATAAACACCGAAAATGACTCTCATAGATGAACTATAAACTTGACCTTTGACTGATAGACAAAAGTCACGACGGAGATTAACAGTGTGGAAACAATGGTGAGTTGAAACAAATAAATGTAATCCAACAAAACAATTGAACGAAAATAAACTTTATCCTACCATAGATTTTACTATTTCCGCAATTTCCCTTTAATAATCCACTACAATATCTTTAAGATCTTATGGGTAAAAAGATTTCTTAAAATGTGTTATGGTAGTTAAACTGACCAAATACAATCCTGCTGATCTAAAATACAACAAGCAATCTCCATATTCACAAAAAGAGGTATTTTCTTCAGTTAAAAATATCGAATAAATGTTGAAATATACCGAATCACATGTAAAAAGAATTAATTGTGAACATACTAGAATCCACCAGTAAGTATCGTTACTTTGCAACCAGTGGAAATTCCAAATACGGCACCTTTAAGTATACAATGATCTAAGGAATGACGCTAAAACAGAAGAAATAATTGAAAAAGTGAACAAAAGCTTGTCAAAAGAGTTTTTTATTCTGTTTATTTTTCAGTTAGTTAAACTATTGCATATGAAATTGTAATTTAGATAATTTGAGTATTAGTATCCATATATTATGGTCTTACTTTGTTAAGACATCGACCAAAGATTGGTAACAGTATGGGTTTATCCACACCTGAATGAAAATAAGCATAGCTAGTGGGAAATCTTTATAAGCAGAGATAATGGTGGCTAGTAGTGGGATCCAAGACGCGCGTTCCGTCCTTGGATAAAGGTACATCCTGCTGACGAGCCCCAAATGGGACGAAACGCGCGTCCTGTATTCCACAGCTGAATACCATCCGTCTCTGCTTATAATGCTTGTGACTTCAGGCAATATCGAGTCAATCTATACAGGATGCACATATATCAATATGAGTCTGATCAATTGCGGTCCTAGACATCGATGGGAAGACATAAACAATTAATACAAAAATAGTGGAAAATCTTTGCTCTTTTTCCTTGTAACAACACTCCGTAAATCATTATTGATAAAGAAATAGTTAGCAATGATATTAGAGTAAGAAATAGAATTGCACTCTAATATAAAGTTATATTCAGCTTGTTAAATAAATATCAAAGGTGGTTAATTAATCCAGAGTGTAAGAATAAATTAAGTTTGATCATGGGCAGGAACTTCATTACCGATTTTTTAAAATTTACTGAGGAGGAAACAAAGAAATATTGCTAATAGACAAACTTGAAGGACTAATTCATTTCATGTATAATTGAAGTCGACCGAAATTAAATACCAGAAAAACAAAAAGACAATCATACATATTTCATGATTTTGAGAGATCGAAATGATTAAACTTTTATTCCAATTGATTTGACTAAACACAAATAGTTGTTGATGAAAAATAAGTTATATATTTGAATGTTTTTTGTTTAAATTACCAGTATACGTCAAGAATTTTTACCTTAAGTTGTGCAAACAAAGTTTATACAATAGACTATGGTGAGAAAACTTTTAAGACAATACAATTGGCTTGAGTCTTAATGGTAGGCAGATAAGCCAGATAGTTATCTAAACCTTCAGTCATATATGTAGTAGCCTAAAGAAAATAAAAATCACATATTTAAAATGGTATGGTACTCTCCATAAGGGATTGAATAGGCGTAAAAAATAGTTACATAAAAAATAGGATTATATCATCAATATAAGAGACACTTATCTACCCATAACTGACCCTAGCCGTTTCATTGTTTACAAATATAGTATATTTATTGGCACGTAGGAATTCATCATATGATACAAACGCACGCATTACACCTGTAATAATTCCAATAGAGATACCAAGATACACAGGAATTTTTCGTGTTGTCCTACCAAGTTTATTCAATTCTTGGTCAGATAAAAAGGGGCTGCAATAAAATAAGCAATAACAAATAGTTCAAGGATTTCAATCCTATTTAAATTATAGTTATTACTGACTACAATAAAACAAGTGATACGATATTTTAAGGCTAAACTGTAAAACAGATCCATTTGTGGTTGCACCATCATAAATGAACTATTCACCAACCCAATGTCACAGCCTATATCTGATTATCTGGATCCGTTTGGACATCGATAAATACCCGTGAGTTTTAAGTACAATACTCTGTTTTTATAGAATTCAACTTTCTACCATCCTTCTCCCTCTCTCTCTTCACAGTTGAGTTAATCAAGTGTTGTTAGTGTCCATCATAGCTGAGCCGGAAACCAGACAGTCACAATCGTCAATACAAAAATGTCGGATTCTACCAGATATATGAAATACCTCGTCTTACAAACTGACGTTCAGTTATCGACTTCAAATATGAAGATGGTATAATACTATTCAGTGAAGACTGACAAAATGCAGGGTTTTTGTATCATCTCAAGCAACAATGCAAACATGTTTGGGATGAGTTTTTTTTCTCGTTGAATGAAAGATTTAACTCCAAGGCTGGCTGATGTCAACTCCTGGACTAATAATAGGAAGCGAAACATTTGAGTGCGTTGACCACTTCACTTATACGGAAAGTCTCATCACCTCTGGTAGATTAGTGTGTGAAGAAATCTCACCATGGGGTCAGAAAACTCGACTGGCTTGCGTCGCTTGTGATATAGGCGAGATACCCGTCTCGTAATCAAAGGGAGTGTATACTGAGCACCAACTCATTTTCTTAAACACCATGGCTGTGGAAACGATCTATGAAAGTTGAAGACATGCTTACACTGAAGTTTTTTATCATAGGTGTCTTCGAAGCATTGTTATTGTTTTGTGTAACGACCGAGTGAGCAATGTTGAGGTTAGACAGAGGGCACTATAGTCAGTCAGTCAGTAACAACGTAGAACTTCGTACGGTACGTACATCAGTTCGAGTTGCCACCGCCGGAGACGGAAATCCGTGGGGTAAGGTGAGGTACATCGAACACAAAGTTGAACAAGAATGGGGATAGTGGACAGCCCTGACGAACACCACTTGAGGTAATCAATTCTGATGACACTTCGCCATAAGCTCTCACTCTACCAGTTGTGTTCGAGTAGAGAGCCTTTATAAGTTAATGTACCTCTTTGGTACTCCTTTCAGTGACAAACACTGCCATAGAACCTCACGATCAACAAAGTCAAATGCCGCCTTAAGGTCGAGAAATACTACCATTGTGGGGTGTCTGAATGTGTGTGTGTTCTAGAACCTGATGTAGTGTGAATATCTGGTCTATACAACCACGTCCATGTCTAAAACCAGCCTGGTTTTCTCTAGTCTGCTCTTCAAGAGCTTTAGTTAGGCACAGAAGAATTATTGAAGCTAATATTTTAGACACTATATTAGTCAAACTGATTACCCAGAGGACTTTTGTCCTTCCTTATAGGCTGGCACAATCAGTGATTGAGATTACGTCCAGTTCCTAAATTCTACTTAAGATCTTAGTTAATCTCACTGCTAATACTGGACCACCATCCTTAAAAATCTCAGGAGTGAACCTGTCAGGGCCTGTTGCTCTCCCTCACTTCAGATTTTCTATAGCTTTTTAACTTCGTAAAGAGTCGGAGGACCTACATTAATTTGCCATTCAGGTTGACTGGAGATCGTGGGAAACCGAAGTGTGGCTGAAGGCCAGTTGAACTGATCCCTAAAGTGTTCTGCCCATCGATCCGATCTCCTCGATTGAGAATGTATAATATGTCCATCTTTCTCTGAGATTGTTTCGCTAACAGTCGGTTTCCTAATACCGGTTTCCTTAACGAGTCTGAACAACTGTCTGCTATTACCTATTATCGCTGCCTTTTCTATCTCTCTTGCTTTCGCTACCCACCACTGTTCACGACCATTGCGTAGACTTCTTGTCAGCTTGCGCTTAAGCTGACTCCGCTCTTCATTATGTTCAGAGCCATATGGGATGAGTTTTCGAGCACCTATCAGTGCGGTAGATGCTGCTGAGATCCAGTGTTTCTCCCTAACCTTGTGGTTTACCGTACTATCATTGCTGTTTCCACAGCTTTTCGGATATCATTCCATGCTGCCTCGGGGTGGGCATCACATACATGGCTGCCTAACTGTCTTCCTAGTTGTTCCTGAAATATACTCTTAGCTTGACTATCATTAAGTAGGATCCTAAAAGGTTTCTTGCAGCGTATTTCCTACGTCCAGTAAGACGCAGACAAATACGCGCTCGCACTAAAGTATGATCTGAATATTAGCATGTGCTCCAGAATGAGCGACAGTCTTCTATCGAGCCCCTCCATCGGTGGCTGATAGCGATGTGATCTATTTGGGTCCAACGTTGGGACGAATTAGGGGGTCGCCATGCTAAAAGATGTTTTTCCTTATGCTTAAGGTTAGTATTTGCAAGGAACAGGCGGTTATCTGAGCATAGCTGCAACAGATGGTCGCCATTATCTGTTCTTTGAGCCACAACACTATAAGATCCACCCAGGTGTCTTTCCCTTTCGCTTAGTTTACCTACATGAGCATTAAAGTCACCAGCCACTATTACTACATCAGAGCGCCTAGCTTTTCGGAGGTCGGAAAGCGTTTTGTAAAACTCATCTTTTACATCATCTGAGCTGCAGTCAGTGGGAGAATAGGCAGAGACGACGAGTGTCCCTATCTTTCCGAGTCCTTACTGTTCTGTTTAGTTGGACAGCGCACAAACGACTGTCTACTGGGATTCAGTCTAAGAGAACTAGTTCTGCCCTAGGACTCAATGCTATACCTACGCCGGCGAGGCCACGGGAAGCAGAATCAGGGCTTCCAGATACACGAAGCGTAAATCGAGTCGGGAGTGAAGTAGTCGAACGCGTTGACAACGTCACATCTTGGAAGTCTGATCAGCCCTAATGGGTTGGTGTCTGACGAAATCTCAGCACGGATTCGCCACATAAATCATTCAATTTATGTGAAGGCTGGGATACTCCTCGGGTAACCAAACCGAAGCAGGTGGTTTTCTTAGGGAGCCACACTCGGAGCCTTTGACCTAAGGGTGTGATCCACAAGGCAGTGGAGCAACGTTAGGAGATGCAGTCCCATGGTAGCTGGTGACTAAAAATAGGTGATTTGTTTTCTTTAGGATCCTGGAGCCCATGTGTACCACTGGTTTTGAATCAGAGTTTGCCAACTCCCCTAGGTGGATTCTCCATATCCACCGACTTGGTTAAAGCGTCGGACATTCTCTTTTCGTCCTCTGAATTTCGTAAACAACACCCTTGGTGCGAGAAGGCACTGAGTAGGACTTCCCTGGCAGTGGCTGGATACGCGTGGACACTTGAGAGCATTTCGAGAGGGATTGCTGACTCTCCTTATTCTCGTCCGTACCAGGGCATTTGGGGGGGTAGGAATTTTACGGTGGATTAACTTTAACAATACGAGCATTGAGTAACTTGAAGCACTGGATATCTATTTCACCTTAGTTTAAAACTCTTAGGAAGTATCGTTTCATGGCTTCGCCGTCTGAGTTGATCCCGAAACCTTTAAATCTTCAGAATAAGATGATTCATATTTCAGTGTCTTTGTGCAATCAAAATATTTTTCATTAGCAACTAGTTTTCAGTAGAATTTTAGAGGTCTTAATAAGAATCTAAAACCCATGGAGTTACCCTCATTTATAAAATAATAAGATGGTTATTTACCTACCAACATGACTGGTTGGTTGTCCCGTTAAATTACAACTTGATCGTATTTAGAAATAGTATGTACTATATTTATCTGACCTGATGGTTTTCTATTAAAAGTTTTGAGTTCGGTTCCATGTGCTTAAGTCATAAATGCTTAACATTTTTATGGAGTTTCAAATTATATGATGAAATAGAGCTATTTATTTTCTTTGTAGTTTTCGGTAGTTTACTGATGAAAAAATCAGTCTATGAATTATAGACTTCCTCTATATTCTATTCAGCTTTCTAACAATACTTTTCGACTGAAATTAGCTTAAAGTAATAACCTAAACTATCTCAACTATTTACTATGAGAATCTATCTGTCCTACTCACTGCCTTCTCGTGGCGGGGGTGTTGTTTACGAAAATGAGAGGAAGAAAAGCGAATGTCCGGCGCTTTAACCGTATTCCAAAGCGATGGTACACATGGGCTCCAGTATCCTGCGGGAACAAATGTCGTATGAAGCAATTGTTGGTCACCGGCTACCATGGGACTGCATCTCCTTATGATGCGGCACTGCCTTGTAGATCAGACCTTCAGGTCGAAGGCTCGGGGAATGGCTCCCTAAGAAAACCAGCTACTTCGGTTTGGGCACCCAAGCACTATCACAGCTCTCACACATATCGAATGAGATTTGTGTGTCTCATATGTATTTAGTGCCTCCTTGTACCGATATCTATGTGTTAACATAAATAGATAAATATCTGTTCTTTCCTATTATTTTCTTGATTAGCCTAAATGTCATGTAGAATCAACCATCAACTCATATAATACAAATAATGGACATCATACACAACAGTTTCATCATAATATACCCACAACAAATTCACGAAAACCATCAATTCCTCAAAGAGCTCCATCCACTCGACTAACAAGTTTACCGAGTTGGCCTAAACATCATGACATGGAGACACCTATTTCTGACACTATGATAACATCTAATGCTATGGTCACTGGAAATAATGGAATAGATCATTCGAAAGTAAGTATGCTCCCTCCTTTGTGTCTTTCACTGTATATATAATGATGACAAGCTTATAGCCTTTGTAAAATAGCAGAGGTTTAATTATTAAACATAAGAAAATGATATGATGCTGGCTAGCATTAGAATCCAGAAAACATGTTTCGTCCTATTTGGGACTCGTCAGTCGGAAGTGCCTACATCCCAGAGTTGATGTTTACTCGAACACCTAAACCCAATACCGTTTACTTGAAACGCCATCTCATTATCAACTTAACTACTGAGTTTCACTGCTGACCACTATCATCTCTGCTTATAATACTTGTGACTTCAGACATTATCGAGGCAATCCATACAGGATGCAAATATGTCAATAAGAGACTGATCATTTGCTGTCCTTATACATCAATGGGATGATTCAATCAACCAATACAAAAATGAAATAGGAAAATGATATTCTGTTTTATATACTGTGAAATTGTGTTTTCTAATCAATGTATTTCATTTAAATATCACATACTATGCTTGTGAATGGTAAAACTTGAAATGACACAAGGGTTCGCTATGCCAATATTCAAATAAAAATATGTAGGGTACATCTTTTTCTATCATATTCTAATCACTACAATCCATGCTATCATTTGAATTCACACTGAAAATTGTTACTGGATTATGAATAACAGTACGAGTTTGAATAGTGTCACCGATTGTACCACGACGTGCAATGCTATCCGGTATTGGAGATGGTTGGAAGAAAGTTAGGGGCGGCCAAACCAAAACGTGGAATCAGTGCTTGAAGTCACTAACTTCTAGTCTGAGCCATGTTGGTAGATGCAGACTACTTGGTTGGGGTCCGCGTGACTATCGTAAACAATGGTTGGAGACTCTTGGTGACATGGCTCAGAATCGATCACAATGGCGTCGGTGTATACACTCCCTGTCTTCCCTTAATCTAAGAGATTAAAATCGCTTCATATTTTTCTTTCTACGAACCAATTCTTTCTTCTTGTACTATATCTCTATATGCAATCTTTCTCTTACATATTACTACCTTTGACGTAACCACTGCTATGAATCCGGTGTTCATCTTGTTGTGCTGATGCGGTATGGCAACCTGGACCGATGCACATATGTGCCTGGTCCTAACTTGTAGCTGACTGACTGACTGAATGGTGTCAGTAAGTTTTTTAAAGTAGTAATAGCCACCTTCTTAGGTTACAAATAAAAAACAAGACTTTTCTGTCTCCCAATTTAAAGGAAATTATTGTTGAGAGAGATGTGCTTCATAGTACGTACAATCAGTACGTTGTGACACCATATCTCACGACAGATTATCAACTAACGTGTAGAACTATGCATTTTGAACGCCAATTACATGTAAAATGTGCTTATTAATTGGTTGTAGGCGATGTCTTCAGTAAAAAGAACAGTAATGTAGCGAACAAAGTCCTTTCGTAAAATATGAAAACCATATATTAAATATATTATTTGCACATCTTCTATAAGTTGTTCTTTACATGCTTCATGGTTCTTTCAATTCTGTTTTCATTACAATTACTTTCTGTTTCCCATTCCATTCCCCTCAATTGGGTCTTCTCAATCTCCTGGCGGCATGCATTTCACTTCCTATTAATGCTACATATTACTTATAACTGTCATCTTAAGTAGAATATACCGCAGTGGTAACGCAAGGTATCTTTGTAAAAACATATATTTCAGTTTAGTGTATCAGTAAAACCTTTAACCTACATTTGTTAATGTATAGCAAATAAGATGTTCAACTAAGTCCCAAAAGAGTTCTCATAGTCATTACAGGATGAATTAAATGAAAACCGACAGTTTAAAAAAGATTATATGCTAAAATGAATTAAAGTAGTTGATTTGACTTGCCTACTTTAAAAAACAAAAAACAGCCATAAAAAACTTACTCTGTTGAGTATACGGCATGAATACGATCATAGATGGTAGATGAATAGAGACGAATTATCGGTGAAAATTGTTTTGAAAAATTATATGTTTCATCTGGAATAAGTTCTGGGATGGTTTGATTATTAATAACTTCATCTCGATTTTCAAGTATACTGTCTAATTTTTCAGTATCGATGGCCAATAGATCTTCATCAGCGTCTGAAATATTCATAACTAAACTTGATAAAAAAAGAGGGCAAAAATAGTTAACTGCCAATAATAAGAAGCATTTGGAAGCAAACCGATGAATAAGAAATTTATTCCTATTATTTCAAACAAACACAAATATGACACCGCACTACGAAATGTTCTTCAATAAATAAATAGTGGTAGTTTATATTTGCTTTTAAACACTTTCATTTTATCAATCAATGATCAGGTAAACAAAGAACCTAAAAAAGGGATATCAGTAAGGGCCTACTAACAGTAAGAAAACCAGGACATATGGAAATAAAATAGAATGCCGATAATAGATTAGATAAGAACAATGAGATATTGATAGAGTGAGTAATAGGACCCTAGCTTATCAAACCAGGAAAACTAAAAGAACAAGACTAAGATTGGATGAAATCTAGAGTCTTTAAGGTACGCCAAAATTACACGAACCAAACACTCCTCTACGAATGAATGCTACACTTTCAGGGACCCTTAAATACAATCCATCAAAATAGACTCTGAAATTATTAGAAGAACTGGATACATAAAATCATTGGATGAAGTTTACGATACACTTTTTGGATAAAATCAGGGAAATCCTAATCGACTATGGACTGGTGGTATTCTATATCAGAGTCATTTATGTCAGTAGTATACAACACTGTTTTCTCTCCCATCAATAATAGGAGTCTTCCAGAGGACAATAAGAAATGAAGACATAATTTAACTGGACTCATTATTATGTGCCTATTGAAATGTTTCCAATTCAGTAGTAAAACTTATTTGATATAGTGATTCTGCTCAGATATTTATCACTAGTTAGTAAAGTATAGTATTGTAGATAATATTTAAGAGTAAATGTTATATTAATACTTCACTATTTAGTGTAATTCTATTTGAAAAATATTGAAAATTTCGGCTGTGTACATTAGAACGCAATATAAGACTGAACAATAGTTTTGAATTCGATACTCTTCAAGTTTACCAATAAAACAGAATCATTTTAGCTGGAAATTGCAAACTAAATTTCACCAATAAAATGTATGATTGGTCTGATAGAGCATGGATAATCCTTCGGAAACAGCAATGATCAATGGCTACAGTATTTTTCTGATTTATTTGCTTTTGAGTGATTATGTCGTGGAAACAGAATACTTATGTAGTGGTAAGATAAGTTTAGATGAGCTTTAGGATGTCTGGTGACCACAGTCTACAAATTCCAAATCAAATTTCCAGTCATATCATGAGAGCTAGTGCAGTTATTGAGATTACTAAAGTAGCCAATTTAATTTATTAGACAGAAAACGACTTCTATACACGTAAATCCTTAGGTATAATTTAATACAGGATAAGTTGAAAAGTTAAATTCAATCTCAATACGTTAATCAAAAGATTTAGGTTAGTTGTAGTTATTAGCAAACCTGTAGTGATCCAAGAGATCCGTATGGCTTACCTAAGTAAACCTGGATATGCTGGACATAACTAACATAGACAATGAAATATAGGAGTAACAACTGATAGTTTATTTTAGGATCTGAGCAGTCACTCATAATCGGAGCAGAGCCTGGAACGAATGTGGATTAGATCAAGGTGCCATAATACATCAGTACGACGTAGACTTAGACAACACTACCAACAGTTATTGAGTGCATTTAAAGTACACGCACTTCAAAAAAGCTTTACATAGACTAAATCATAGTTGGGATTATTCCCAGTGATCATAACTGCTATGGTATATGTACTTGAGAATCCTGTGAGCTGTGTAGAACTAGATGACAAGAGAAGCTTAGATTACTGTAAATATACTTCAGCCGCAAGTTCTTGAACAATAGGGAAATTAACTGGAAAGTTACCACTCTAGATCAATGATATTTGATATTACAACCTTCACGACGTGACTCTACTGATAACTTTAATCCTACTACTTAGCGAGATGAGTATCTTAGGTAATCAAGCAATCATTACCTAATAGTGGTGATGACTTAAATATTTATCTAGTCAGTAATGGTTATTGTTTAATATGCACTGTCACTACTTATAATTAGACAAACCAATAGACAAAAAAATCGTAGCTAGTAATAGTATTATTACCCGAAGGTAAAAGATCCTCAAATCTCACATTTCTATAACGTCCAGTGTCTTATCTTTATCTTCATTTAATTGACGTACTAAAATGTTGAAAAAATACGAAAGATTATGTGAATTTATTGCGATGGCTGCAAAATTTATTATTTTATTTATTTAAACACATAAACACTGGTACAATGAGGCACTAAATAGATATGCGCCACATAAATCGTTCGATTTGTATGAGGGATCGGATACTGTCCGGTAGCCCGAACCGAAGCAAAATCCGGAAATACAATACTACGATGATCCAACAACATCCAAACTCGTAATTCACTACAACTCATAAAAGGAATTTTCAAAAGACAATATAAGTCGAGAGCAAACAGAAAGCGAAGAAAACTACCACTCACTCCTTGTTTCATTTCAATGAATGGCGTTTTTTTTTATTACTACCATCTTGAAAAGCTTAGGTGGACAAAACATATTTAAAGGACATAAAGAATCTGAGCATAGAACTGAAGTCAGGAGTTATAAATGAAGCTGAGTCGAAAATTGTTTTTCATCCATTTCATCTACACAATGATTTGGCTTGAACAATTATTAATATCTGTAATTTTTCAACGACGTCCACACGTATCTCACAGTGATATGATTGTCTAGGGATAATGCTATAGTTTTTACTTCTTAAAAAACAGATTGATTAGTACCGTAAATACTATTGCTCGGTAAACGATGGTCATGTTTTAACATATCATAAGAGAGCTTACCCAAGAACAAAATATAATTCGGATGAGATGGTGGAGAAGATTTGTAGCTCAGGTGGATGATTTTGGTGGTGTTTTGTTCTCTGAGCTCAGAGAACAAAACACCACCAAAATAATTCGGATTAATATAATCTATTACATGCATTCTGTTTTGTCAACGATGAAAAAATTTACTAGATAGTCTTACATAACAATGGGAAAAACTTAGTATCAGCTGGCACAAATATATACATAATATAGGAAAAGATTCTTTTCCTTTTATTTCTACTTCACAACGGACTAAAATTCACAAAACTATTAAAAGAAAAATATTTTCGACTAAATTAAATCACTTCCAACCAGCTAACACATCAAAATAGAATCTTTGTCAGTCTCTTCAACTAAATATAGTTTACAATTCAGTGAATTAATCTGAACATAATCACTGAATAGCATAAATATTTACGCAAAAAAGGTCATTATGACAGTAGAAAGGAAAATAAAATGAATAAACTTCGTTGAAATCTAATGTAAAATTTTCAAGTATACAGCAAAAACAGCACTACAAAAATACATGAGAATAACAATCACTAACTAAATATACTCGAACGGAAAGCATAAGACATACATTAATAATAGTAATAATAATTTTATTTGGCAGTGAATATCACACAATTAGAAATATCACATTTTTCCCGTTCAAAAAAGTAACAATAGTATACAGAACAATTTTATTTTGTGTACAGAGGTATTGAATGCATGGATTTAGTTGGGAGGGGAAGAAAGTATCGACCGGAGCAAAAAAACCAGGTTAACCTTTGATTACTCCAATTGGACGTAGTTTGAGCACCTTGTTACTTATTCCAGCTGCTTGACCTAGAGGAAAATCAAATAGACATAAGAAACAAATCAACACTGCAAAATACAATAACAAACTAGCCAACAGTTTTTTTCAATAACAGTAAACATTTTAAAGACTAATAAATAACTTGAAAATAGAAACATGAAATAAAGGTGAAATGATAAACTTATATCAATATCATAGATTTTGGACATCATACAGACTTATTAAACTTACAAGTTACTAGTAGCCCTGATGAATACGAAACAGCAGTAAAATGTCAATGACTACGTGGTTCCTATAGACTAATGAAGTAAAAACTAAAATAATATGATATTATACAGCAGTATAAGTCGAGATAAGTGGGAAAAGGTTTGATCGCTACTGACTTAACAATCAAGGTACTGAACCTTTGACTGATGTATTGCATGTTCGAATCCTTGATCACTAACATTAATCCAGGCAAACGGGTATTACCCTTAACACCAACATGAAAAGAGGGACTTATTGCAAATTAGAAAAATTTGGAGCTGATTAGTGAGTGGCTTGTATAATATAAGTCAAAAATGACTAGTACAATACTACTGATTTAAAGAGTAGAAATCCACGAGTCATAGGTTGTCAGCGTTTGGGGTAAAAAAACTCAATATATTAATTGATTACGACAAATGACTATCGTAAAGAAGTGCAGTATTTAATAGTATTTTACGCGTACGTGAATCACTCTAGACAAGTTATCAGTCCATTTTTTCGAGACATTATCCACACTTACATTTGACCCTGTCACTTTTTTTGCATGTAACCATGGTAGTTCTTACATACGCGTACGTAAGTGTTTGTCACTTACTCTCTTCGTCACATGTCTCAAACTCAATTTCCCTGTCTGACTATAAATATTGAGTCACGTCGGTTTTTGTTATATTAGCACGTAATACATTTTAAAAGATGTGTAACAGCTAAGAGCTATAATTCATATTATACACATAAAGTTGCTGAGTTAAAGTAACAAAAAATAGAACTCACAGGTATCTACGACATCTGTTACATTTTTATATGATTCTGGAGCTTCTTCCATTACAAGTTTAGGTGAAGCAACTCGTATTGATATACCTTTTTCCTGTAACTGTGCTAAAACATCAGTATAGTCGAGATTACGTCTTGATTTGGCTCGAGATAATGCACGACCCTGAAAGGATAAATAAACAAGGCGAAAAACAGAAAACTGAAATCCAATCATAAATTATGTTGCTTTTTAGGAGCTACGAAATAAGTGGTAAACTATCCTCTAGGTTTTGTCAAGAAGAGTAGAAAATTAATATCAAGTAATTAAACGACAGAGATATTTAACGCTAAGAGTAGTTGCTTCCATTAACACTATGAGGTATAATTGATAAATCTACTTTCATAAAGTTATATTTTAATTATTTATTTTCAATTAAGTAACCGTTTCAAACGATTTGCACATTTTAATTGTAAATTATGGTTAACTGTTCGAATCAGAACAACTAAAATAGTTTGGAACTATTGATGTAAACATAAATGACAATCAGTATAACAGACTATTATTTTAAAAATTTATCTGTAGGTCAAAGTACAGTTTGAATTGGTATAATGAGATTAGGCTCGACAGTGAAATTGTCAGACTCCCGCTGCTTAACATTCATGTTGTGTGGGTTTAATCGGGCTGACAAAAAGTTCTTATAAATACTGATGAGATACACATCCATTGGTTGATGTTAACCATATACTGTCATATTCTGATTAAATATTTAACGTAACATACTTCAGAATTTGTTATAGTTACCAATGATGCATTAATTATTTTGCTTTAGATTTTGCAACTCAGAATGACTACATACCTTTCATTTGGCAACTTGATTTGTTCTTTCTAACAATAATCCTTTGTTTAATTTTCCACCACCATTATCACTATCATACTTTTTTTATTTTATCTGTTAATTCCCTATTCTTTTACTGACTTGAAGTGTGGCGAACTGAACTGTGACAGATCCTATGTTGCTAAGGGATGACTGAATGATTAATGGACCATTAAGCATTTACACTTTATCTTCCGATCTTCCATCCTTTATATAAACCTTTACACTCTATCTTTGTGGAACATATTCTCAGTGCTTAGCTTTTCTCCACGTCATTTCTACTATATTATTTTGATCTCCTTTCCTAGCCGCATTATTGTTTTTATCTCAACGTGATAATGTGGTATGGCAACTTGGGATATTGTATATATTTGTGTGGAGAAAACAGACTAATTGAAATGTCGAATTTTTAGACTGGAAGCATGTGTACTGACCATATATATTTGTTTAAAAATTGATTTCATTTGTTATGATTGTGTTATGGACAACGAATAACAGTTCTTAAAATGAAATGAAATAATTTTGTCAATCGAAAATACAGCTTTTAGATATGTCATTTTCGACTGCACACAGGTGACTTTGGTGTACAGCTTTGATTCAATACCTAATTTCTGTAAAAATGCAGATTTTGTCATGCACTGATCAAGTCGGAGTCTTTAAAGTTTATTTAAAATCGTACTAAAGATATAAGCCACTAAGAATCAGTGAAAAACATAAATTACATTTAAAAAATCTGATATTTTTTGATTGATTTTATGCATAAAGTAAATACTTTACGAGTCGTTTTGACTTGTAAGCAAAAATTATCACAACGTTAAGTATTATTATCATTACTACTTACAGCACCATGACATGTTGAACCAAAAGTTTCAGTCATTGCTTTTTCAGTACCAGTTAAAACATAACTACAAGTACCCATTGTACCACCAATAAGTACAGGCTGTCCGGTAAGCTGTGAAAAAAAGACACTGAATCAATCAAACATCCAACTTGCGAATTGTGGGAAACAAAGACAGAGGTTAAGAATTCTAAGTATGGATTCAATTTAAGGCAAAATAAAAAGGCACTCATATGTAATGAACTAATCGATAAACTCGAAAATATAGAAATAAACGTAACGTATTAACTACTACGTACCGATATGCGTTAGAGTACAACAAACAATAAAAGTAAGATTTTAAGACACTATGTAACTACTCGCTCTAAAATAAACGGGACTAGATCCAAATTTTCAAAGTCAAAGCTGGATATTTGTGTACCTAAACCACGAGAAGGTAGTTTAATAATCGTGAAATTTTGATTTGTTGAATAATTAAATAATATGATGGGAATTTTTCAGAAATTCAATAATATGAGTGCTGAATTGTTCAATACTCTAGGGTTTATTAATGTCGATCAAGTGTAGTTAATCGCCGGTGTACAAAATCATCGCATCACATGATTCTCCCTCAGTAGTCACAATACTTTTTCAGTGATATACTTTTATCTAATCTAACGACACAGTCAGACGTTACCATTGATGTATTCTTTGGCAAGAATTATGAAAGTTGGATTGATTTTCCAAACTTGTATCAACTGAGTTAGTAGCCGACATAACCATCTCTAAAATAAGTGAAGAGTATAGCGTAAAGTAGTTCACTCAATATTGCTCTATGGCTGTTAAAAACAGTCTATGAAAACAGAAAGCTGCAATCTTTTGATCATAGGTGTTTGAAAAGTATCGCTTGTCAAATAACAGAGTGGGCAGTAGTGAGGCAAGACGTACGGTTGTGAGTAAAGTTGACAAATATCGCAATATAAATAAAGTTAAAATGCGAACGAATGGATAACAAAGCAGTGGCCCTGGCACTAAGCTATCATTGCAAGGCTCAAAGGTCCTCAACAAAACCGCGTATTCGTAGAGCTGAACAGTCCCATAGGCAAAACAGATGCCTAATAACTTCCAGTTCTTAACTGCTATTCGTGAAATAAAACTACAATTATAGTTATCAGCCGTTAAATCACGTGATTTCAACATAAACAAATGCTAACCTGATAATCAACAGGAATTAAGGGATGATGAGGTGGAAATGCTCGAGTAGATCCCTTGCGATGAACTAGTAGAGTTTTTATTTTGCCATCTACCCAATGTTCTTCCACCTTAGCGATATTATGTGATACATCGTATATAATCTGCATATCTAAATCGTCCGGTGTAGAATGGAAAATTTTCGCAAAAGCCTATAATAAAATAAATACATGTTATAGTAGTAGGTGAGACTGACGAAAATGACGAATTCAAAAGTGAGATAAAGCCATTTTAATAATATATCAGAATAAAGTGAATATGCGATATGATACTGTACCACTAGTATGGTGAGAACAGGTAAATCTTGTAGAGATAATCTACACCGATAACCGAATGAAATGCTACCTAATTATAAAGCTTTTTATTATGCATTCAAAAACATAAAATGTAAGGATAAAACGATTATAAATTGGAGTGAATGGTTGCTGTACTCGACTTTATATTATTATGTCGTTGACTTGAATGGAACTTCATCTACCTCGATTTGAGAGGTCGGATAGAATAATCAACTAACGCACAAAAGTATGCTTGAAAGCCTAGCAAAATACTAGATACTTTGTGCTTTATACACTATGTATTAGAATATGTATGTTGGGTTTTAAAGGTTGTTCAACTGGTTCCACTTGTATGCACAGATGGATTGCGATTTCTAAAGAGACCTCCTTAAATCGAATGGATTTTTGAATGAACTATGTACGAAATTTTAGGGTAAATAATCAGATTTCTTTGCTTATATATTAACACCAAGGAGATCATACAAGCATCATTCAGTGCTGATAAAGCATAACTAATCAAATGATCATTTTAGAACTTTGATAAAAATTCACTAATGATGGAAGTGTAGTGAAGGAGAACACATGTGAGGACAAATGAATTGTTACAGAGTTACTTGGTAAAATAGAAAAACCATATAGTAAATCGTTAATTTGCAAAATATCATTCCATCAATTCAAACCGGACTGTTGCCGTTGCAAACATCAATCCATTGCCTCACATTTCATTGTTCATGCGGTTTCTTACAAATTTCACTGTGTTCTCGCTCTTCATTTCTTGATCTTCCCCCATCTTCTGCTGCCAGACATTACATTCTTTAACTCGCGTTATATACTACTTATATCAGTATAAGTAGCATGCACCACAGAAGAACTTGCTTAAGTGAGAAACGACAGCTTTTTGTTCTACTACAGTAATCTCCAAAAAGAATTTAGTTTTGGCAATAAATCATTAGGTTAACTCGATTAACTGCGTTTTCATAATGTGAGGTCCACGCACATTTCTTTTACAATATAAAATCCTTATATACAAAGACAAGGGCAGTTATTTAAATCTATATATTAACGCAAACTTACCATAATCATAAAGAGAAGAGTAGAAGAGTATTTAGAAAGAAAGCAGTCAAATCAAATATGTCAAATAAATAGCTATTACATTTTTTTAAAAGTACAGCAATTACGATTGGCTTTAGTCTGAATTTAAATCTTGTAGTGTCTGGAACCATCCAGTGGTAACTTGATCTCTGTGAGACTTTTGAGAAAATTAAAGTGGGAAAACAGCTGCCTTCCATCCCACGGTGCAAGATCATAAACTGAGCTCCCTCCTAGTATTTTTAGCCAGTTGTAAAAGGATCAAGCAATTGTTGTTATATAATCACTGAGTTGACATGAATAAAACACATCCAACCTGCATAAGTTGATGTTTTGAAATGCTGTAAGACGACCATCTATTTACTAACATTTAGGAAGTTTACATACACAGTATTATATATATACTAAATAGTACTTGAAGTAAGAGTAATATTAAGCAATGAGATAGTGTCAGTTTTCGTAAATTTTCGCCAAACCCAACAAGGAAATACATTATGCTCACCACAGAACCATTCATAAAACAGTTAACAAACTCTCCATGGCTTATAAACTTAGAAAATAATTTACTGTTTGTTATTTGTCTGATACTAATGACTTGTTATTCCTTTGTTTCTATCTTGCATTGTTAACACGTATCCAAAATGTTAACGTTGTGAAAACGCACAAGAACTATACAAATACTCGACAACAATAATTAGCATAAGGTAATCATAGTCTTAATGCTCAGAAAAACGTAAATATTCTAAAATTACCTGTCTTGCAAGAAATGTCATAGAAGATCGATTAACCCAGGCATAGTTGGCAGCCGCTGCCATTGCTTTCAAATAATCTTGACCTTCTTCAGAATTAATGTGTGCACAGGCCAACTGCCGGTCATTTACTTCGATTTTATCACGTTTCATTGCTTTTTCCATGGAGACCAAAGCATCTGTTGCAACCTAAGTTAAAAGAATACACAAGGTAATCTAGGTAACAATCTCAGTAAAAGTAAGGACATAAAACATATCACTAAATCATGATATACAAATTATGGTAAAAATCACATAATTAATACCATTTTTCACAAACCTATATATCTCACAAACTGAATACTGGATTTTTCTATTCGGAGTGAAAATGGACAACACAGGATGCACACCAACGACTGGAATTGCCTTTTCATGAAACTATGAATCATAAGTTAAATAGTTAAAGGTACCTATTGAAAAAAGCGTCTCAGAAACTGGAGGTAGATGTTGTTAGATATTCTATTTTTCAGCTGTTTAAATAACATTGACAATGAAATTTCAAACTGTCTACACATATTATACGGCCACATTTTTTCATTGCAGTGGGTGGTTGAAGATGAAGGCAACTGTTTACAAGTCATTCCAAATGAAAACCCGGAAACTTCCAGACGCTGACTTTAAAACTAGATTATTAAGAATATGATTATTTTAGCTCAATTAAATATTCAGCTAGTCTTTACTAAAAGCTGAAATAAGTGAAAGGCATATATGTACTTTAACTGAAATTTAAAATAAAGAACAACAACTTGATGACTGTTTTTTTATTCGTATAAACTTAACCTAGACTTTTAGTTGCTCTGAAGAAAAACGGCTTACTTTCAAAGTTACCGTCTTGATATATGGAACATGAAATATCTTTAATTTCACGTCTAGCACATGAGTACTTAGGTACTACTTTAATATCTGGAAGGAAGTATGGAACTCTATCATCCACAACTAAAAATAGTCTAATTAATTTGTGTAAATCGTTTATCCGATCGCAATAAACAAGTTTTTGACGTAAACTATAGAAGACACTGGGTCGTCAATTTACTATCAAACATTTTTGCAACATATATCCAGAAAACAATCATTATGCCGTCTCCAGATAATTCCCTTAGTTTTTTTCTGTTGGTGCAAAAACCTTCATCTACCTCAGGCAATGGAGGGTGGTCGCGCAATTCCGTGGATCGTTTGAAGTTAAACACCAACACCGTTGGATGCCGGCTCAGTGGTCTAGAGGTTAAGCGTTCACGCGTAGGACCGACGGTCCTAGGTTCAGGTCCCGAGTGCGGACCGTGGATCCGCACTGCTGAGGAGTCCCATACTAGGGCGAAACAGCCTTCCAGTGCTCCCAGGTTTTCAGTGGTGGTCTAAAATTGATCGATTCATGATTTCTGTTGTAACGTGTGTGACTGCAGGTTTTGATAAGCAGCGTTTATATATCGATCGATTACAGTGACACGGAAAACACGTAGTGAACGACCTAGTGCCCTGATTGGCCCTGCTTCGCTGTCTGTCCTAGCCAGTTGAGTGAAGAACACAAGGAACAGCCTCTGAGTTATGAATCGTTACATTTCAGACATACTCTATTTATATACCAAACAAACAAACCACATCGTACCATAAAATAGAAAACAACATTTACACAATATTTAACAAGTGAAACAAATATCGACCAATAGGGAGTGTACATTTAAGGTCCAAGGCCACCATAGACTTAACACGATAATTATTGGTATATTTTTCTGCATATCCTAACAATTTCAATAAACAACCTTCGTAAAGATTATTATTGGTCGCCATAGAAATACAAGGAATATTGTCTACGTAAAACAATGCGTCTTGTAATAAAGTTTCGTTTTGAATGGCTAGCAAACTTCTACTTATAGATTTACAAAAGTGGGAGTAAGGAAATAGTAACCAGAATTGTCATTTTAGTTGTCAGGTAGCAAATTTATCAGAAAACATTAACAACACAGTGTGATCGAGGATACATTTTCACTGATTACTATTAATTCACTATTCAAAAATATAACAATATATTTATAGGATGTATGAACCTACTTGATGACCCATTCCTCGACTCCCACAATGAATCATTAGTACTATCTGATTTAAATGATTGATGCCCATTTTAGTTGCTGCATGTTTGTCAAAAATTTCTTCCACAACTTGTATCTCAGCGTAATGATTACCAGCTCCAAGAGTCCCAAGTTGCGGAAGTCCACGTTTTTTTGCTCGTGAAGAAACTTTAGACGGATCAGCCTGGAGCATACGACCATACTCTTCACAATGCTCCTTATCTTCCGCCCAGACATACCCTAATGTATGAAATTTTTGAAGAATGAATAGTAACATGAGAAGTTATCGGGTCGTGGTCTCGTAACACATTCAACACTGTTTGTTTACTTTACAGGTAAATAAAGGGAATTAAGAAATGTCTTAACTTTAAGTTGTGAAATCATTATTTGGAAAATTATTTTCTACACTTTGTTAACTTATAAAATGAACAAAAATTGTGAAATCACGGACGGGTAACCTGTCACATAATAAAATAATGATTAAGACAGAAAAGTAGTTCATAAAAAGAGATTTGCTAGAGTGATTTCTAATCACAAACAAGATATTCATACTTATTAAATAAAGAACACTAATGTTTATAATGCAAACGTAACAGAATTTTAGATACAAAGACCATAGTACTGAAAAATCAAACAGAAATTATTACAATTCAGCACGAGATGAAAGATGGCAAATTGAATGGTAAGGTTGTAAGGCCTCATAAACTAAAGTAGTTGTGACAAACCACCGTTCCTGTATTAAGTCTTATAAGTATTAGAGATTTTTGTAGTTACTTAGTGTGAAGACGGATACCAAAAACAAGATAAGAATAGCAATAGAAATAGAAATGACGTTTACTGGGAGGGTGATCCCGTCTGTTATTCAATATTTATGGTCTACAGTTATTCATACCAACAGAGAAGGAAATCAAAAGAACAATGTGCAATCGTTGGAACTGAAATACTAGATGTATTTAAAAGGCATACCTTATTTTTAACAAAACAGCTTTCTACCAATTCACAACTTTAATTCCTATAGGCCACTTTGATTAAATAAACCATTCTGACGAGATGTTATCCCATATATTTGTATGTATGGTTTAATTAGATACCATAATTAACAGGTTAACTGGCATGACCACTTTATGTCATACTCCTAGCATAAAAGTCACATATAAACATATACTAATATATCTCGTGTGAAAGGAATTAAGGAAAATGATGATCAGTTAACAGATATAAAATAGTCTGATCTTTTTAAATCAAAGGGCAGTTGAACATTCAAAATCGTCTCTCATTTATAAAAGCTACAGACCCTCACCAAAGCAACTCTTAAAATATCACTTGTCGAATTATCTGTATTAAATAGTTATTGATTCAAAAACTAGAAACTACCAAAGACTTTTAAGTTGGAATAAAATGTAATTTACCTTGTCTCAGAGACCAGTCCATACCCATTTCTAAAGCTTCTTCCAGAGCTTGAGCATCCATCGGTATGATACCTTTGGAACCAACACCAACAGGAATATGATCAAACAAAGTCTGAGTTAGCTTTTCTTTCACTGGAAGAACATCTTTTAAATTCAGATTTGTGCGTATAAGTCGGACTCCGCAATTGATATCGAATCCAACACCACCAGGTGAGACTACTGATTTTGGATTGGTTAGGTCAAATGCAGCCATATTACCTTTAAAAATTGGAAGACTTTAAATCGATTCCACATAAATATATCTAAATGCAACATTAATGTTTAATTGTAACGGATTATAGTACAAAAAGACAAAATGGTATTTTACCATTCAAGGACCATTTATAGTTAAAGCTAATACACTAAATGAGTTACGAAAACTGATACTAGTGACTCGTTGAATAGTCAATTGAGTTCCCAAATACCAATATCTCATTGAACATTGAGGTCGGTTTGACAAGTTAACATGATACAAATTACCTTTTATTGTACAGATCAACGTCTCGAAAAGAAACATTTACAGAGCATTGTTTTAAGATATAAACTTTCGAGTGCGAAGATATATTTACATTCTACCTGAAAAACGATGTCAACAACTATGAATACACATACGATTTAGTACGAACATACATGGTTGTGTTACCCCTTAAACTATGTCTGTTTGATTCCCAACAGTTTAACACAAGTAGTGATCGAAGTGGGAGAAAGTTTATGATCAATAATTCAAACAACTGAGCCAAATATTCAGCTAGGTTTGTTAGTTGTTTTAGCTCAATATCAGAAACTGAGTCCTTAAAAGAGTGCTAGAATAAGAGCACTTCCTCAGAAAAAAAATTTATGGGATACATAATGAAAGTGATAAAAAGTCATAATAATTGCTTCTTATGAGGTTAGGGAAGTGAGCATTTAAAGTCAAATAGACCCCATTTTTTCTGCTTATTAGTGAGTTCACAAGTAAGTCCGAAGGGAACACAGACTTGTGCTCAATTCACAAGGTAAGCCAGTCAATTCGACTGAACTGTAATTGAACTAGATGACCATGCGACAATTGAACCTATCTGGTTTTGTTGACTACTTTAGTGGATATTAAAATAATACTGAACTCTTAAATATAAGTAACATTTTATATAAATGTGATCGATTCTACTAATTCTATGGGTCGTGCTGACTGTGTAATTCGCGTCGCTATCTGCTTAGTTGTCTGTATTTCTAGCTGGTTGAATGAAATTCTATTACTTTATTTATTTGAACACAAACATTGGTATAAAAGAGCACGAAAATATAAATGCGTCACACAAAAATTAGGTTGTGAAGAGTTAGAAAAGGGAAAGTGATTATAAGAAAAAAGAACAATCAATAAAGATTAGTGTATGACAGTGAAATAATAACAATGAAAGTAATGATAATAGTAGTAGTAATAATGTCATGCACTGATCACCTTTACGTTTATTCCAACCGGTTTTAGAATCGGCAAATAATGCATGATGTGGAATCTGCTGAGACGACATTCGTAAGACATGTGCCAACCACCTGAGTCGGCGTTTCAAGATCGTGAAATCGATTGAATTATCGTAGCTGTACCCGAACACATGATGCTGAACTTCTGCAATATGGTGTTGCAACCGAAATCCTTCGTAGACAGCAATGACCGAACATGACCGGACATTCGCTTTTCGTCCTCTCATTTTCGTAAACAACACCCCCGCCACGAGAAGACAGTGAGTAGGACTTCCCTGGCAGAGGCTGTATACGCGTAGCCGTGTGAGAGTATTTCGAGAGGGAAGGGGGCCCACCCCACTCTCGGCCATGCCAGGGCATTTGGGGACCTATCTGTTAAGTGATCTGAATTAATATACGAGCGTCGAAGTAGATCAGTTTGAATGGAACACGTGGTTTTAGAAAGGCTAGCTCAGAATTCGTATTTGGTGGTAGCGTTCAAATCTCGATTAGTCAGTGACTTAAGATCGTTTAGATTGGAGAGGGTTCCCACCAAAGATGAGCTGTTGTAGAACTTAGAAAATAAAGGAATACACAAAATGGGAATAAAGGAATAGATAAGTGACCTAATTTAAAAATAAAAACGAGTATTAACAGGTAGTTAAAGCGCGAATAAATTTTCTAATTTTAGTCATTATTTAGTTTGTGTGCAGGCCGAGATACTGTCCGGGTGTCCAAAATGAAACGAGTTGTTTTCCTAGGGAGGCACTCCTCGAACCGTTGACCTAGAGATCTAATTCACATTGCAGTGAAGCAACGTTAATATATACGGTTCCAACATTAGGTTCATGCGTTATTTGCCCCCTCAGGATCCTGTAGCCTATGTGCACCATCGGTTTGAAACCAAGGTTTTCTAGCTACCTTATTTGGATGCACCGTGCCCACCAACCCGGTTAAAGTATTGGGCATTTACTTTTCGACCTCTTAATTTCGTATGTAACACCACCGCCACGAGGTAGTGAGTAGGATTTCCCTGACAGTGGCTGTACACGCGTGGCCATATGAGAGGGGGAACAGACTTCTCGCACTAAGTCATGTCATGACATTTTGTTACTACCACTGTTTACGTTCTCACTGCATTTATGCATCCATGATTATTATCGAAGTGAGACTAATAATTCTAATCAATAATACATTCCCCAACGTTATCATAATTTCAAAAGGATAGGTTGTACTTAAGGTAACTCTAAAAAAGGACGTATCACTAATAAATCTGTAAACATTTTGCTAGACCAGATCAAATAAATGACTTTGTTGATCCTGTGGAACAATCGTTTGTACCTAATTAGAAGAATACCGTTCGAAATTAACGTATACTCCTATTGTAGTTTGGATGCTGGCAGTCAAATATTGTGATTACTTAAACTTAACTATATATCCCGAAACGACAGGTAGTTTGTGTAATGTTTTAACAGAAGCTGTGATCACTGACTAGGCATTGGGTTTTTTGTATAATTCATGAAAATTTATGGCAAAGTTTACTGCATTTATGGTGGAAATGTGGGGTTTGTCTAAGTATATTTACTGACATGTTAGAGTATAGAACATAAATTTGTTAGCCGTTAAGCAGTTGCAATTAAACGAATAGACTGTTTTATAGGTTTTTGTTTGCCCAGAAGAAAATTAACAACTGCTAACAAATTTTGAACAGGTTTTATATAAAAGGCAGCATTAATTGAATCCTAATCCCACTAACTAGTGAAACAGATTTCCAGTAACTGAAAAATAAATTTGTATCGGCTATCATGTGACTATAGCAACTGCGTCATTTGTATGCAAGGTAGTGATGAATCTCAAAAGATTAGAAACCATTCATTGCTTGATTATTTCTATAACGCTAAGTCGAATCATGACTTTAATGATAAAAAATCACAATTCACCGTGCTGAATCATTTGGCTAACATATTATGTTAGCATACAAAATATCAAAGAGTGAAGAGTATTTAGAAAGATCCTTATACAATTAGCAACAACTAAGTATTTAATTTCTCGACTCATCAGTCAAGTAGGATTACGAAAATTCATTAAGCACTCAGGAGCTTTACAAACTTGGTAGTTGCACAAGATGATTACTCGTATAAAGACGCTGGATGATCGATGAAATCGAATAGCAATTAAAAAAGAGAAACAGTGGGATCAAAAATAAAACAACAGAAATAGGCACTTTTGTTTGAAAAAGATTATTAAGATGTGTAAGACCTTCAAGATACATGTAGAAATGTAAGTCCTTGAATTTATTATTAAAGAGGTATACCATAATTACCCACCGAAAGGGGTCGAACACCAAGTTCTTTAGTAAAATATCCCGTTCTTTATGGAAGTTAATATCAAAACTAGTACACATAATCTAATAGTTTGTAACTTACCGATGGCAAAACCATATCCAGAATGTACATCAGGTAAGCCGACTGAACGCTAACAGGAAAAAAATAGAACAGGTAAAAGTCGAATTTTTCATACTTCTTTTCGTTGTTGTGTTGTAAATCACCGAAGCATATTAGTAACCTTACCTTTAAGATTGACTAATTGGAAGTTATTTTTCGGTCATATTTAGTTAAATTATTTATTCCTAAATTGCTTAAGTAATACGATGCTTTTTAGCACGCAAAAAAGAGATTAATGAAGATGAATACCCCAAAAATGATTCGTGATTGGTTTAGTGAACATTGCTACAGTTGGTTGACACTACAGCTACTGTCATTAAAATGAAAGAAAGTGATATTTGTTAGAGATTTCCAGAGAAACATGAGCATTAAAACTATTTGAGAAGATTCATCATTAACAATCTATTAGGACGATTAGCTAGATCGCTAGACAGAAAGATGAAGAACAATCCAACCGAACTACAACTACCTACCAGTTGCCTAAAAATGTCCTGAATTACAGGAATCATCAGAGCAAGTTATTATATTGTCAACGGATTCGAAAAGGTAAGGGAGGCTGGGGTTGAAGTGATATGACGATATACTTCCATAATTCTGAAAGACTAACCGCTAGGAATCGCTACTGACAATGAAGTAATGGTTGGTGGATAGAATTGGAAAGTCTTTCCAGATACGTCTTAAGCGGATACTCTGCCTACTAATAACCCATATACGGCAGAAAATGTAACTTGATTAATAGTATTCGAAAAACAAAGCAGTTGACTTATCCCTTACTGGAGTAAGGGAGCAGAAACAAGAGAACCAGGTGGACATAATTACTATATCCTCAAGCCATATTGTGTTCCCAAACGCACGCATAAGTGCAAATTTGCTTTAACTAAGGGTGTCCACTTACAACTTAGATGCCGTGACGAACAAATGGGTAAACACTTATCCTTGTGCAATAAAACCTAATTAAAAGCTCGCTATAAAATTATATAAGGTTACGAGCCCAGAGTGGTATCTTGTACTTCTCATTTACCTACAAATACTAGAAATAACTGAATATTGGTAAAGATAAACACATGTTGAATTAAGCAAAGAAATATGAGTGGTAATTTGCCAAATAAACTGACCACCAAAATTGGAGGTTCATTGTGCATCCGGTGCTAGGCTAAATTTAAGTTTAAACTAAAAGAGAAGTTCTGACCCAAAAACTATGACTGATACCTATGAGCTATTTTAAATTCGAAAAAAACCTCGCTAAGTGATCAAATATGCTCTAACACCATTGGTAAATATAACCATTTAGGTAAAAATAAATGCGTCTTAAGTGTGCTCGAGATTTTGTGGGAAGTGGTTGACGAGCTAGGTGGAAACTCACAATGAAGAAAAACAGAAAACAAACATGAGATGCTTTTATATATTATTACTAAGTTTAATATTATTGAGAGCGTATACTAAATAATGCGAAGTCACATGACTTACATGAACAATTCCAGGTAACGCTGCGACGTTCCCTATTTGCTTCATTCCTGGTAGAAACCCACCATAATCTCCACTGCGTGTAAAATTTCGTAATTCGTCAAACATAAGTTTTTCAAGAAAGTTATTCACGTAGAAGACACCTTCAACCTATGCACAAGAAAACTCAGCCGTGTGAAGCAGAAGACTTGCATTCATGTTTGGGACAAAACCTTTCTTGATTTTCCAACAAGTTGGGGTGATCTTTTCCAGAAACGCCAGCTCTTGGTCATATGTTCTCGCCATGATGTAGCGCAACCGGTTGAATAATGCACACTCTGCGTTTACAACTTACGAGTTTGTCGTCGGCAAACACTCCTCCGATAGCTTATTGTGTTCGTCTATGCCTTATCGTCTTTCCATACTAAAAAGAGTCATCTAGTGCAATATATTAATGAAAACGCAAGTACAATAAAAATTTGATCCTTTATAATCTTCATCGTGTTTTTAATTATCACCAGCAGTCCTGAAAAAAGGATATGTAAGTGCATGTCGAAATACACCCGTACACCTGTAAGGACACAAATGGGCGAAAAAATGAAAAAACACATTCATGCGTTTCGTAAACATGCGACAACATGGAAACGATTTTTCGCACAATGGATTTTTTAGGGGAAAAATATATGCACATATACGTAATAACAACAATAATCTTTTTGTTTTTTATTAAGTAATTTAATTATATATATGCATGTCAAAATGGTTTGCGTTCATTTTTTTCACACAATAATACAAAAAATCTAGATTAAACAAGACGTTATGTAGTGTCATACGTGCAGTAATCGTTCGAGAGTTCCGGAAAACTTACCCTACTGGAACGCGTTGTTCTAGGCCGAAGTTTCTTTGTGATTGCAATTTATTGAGTCGTGTGTGCCGTAATTATGAGGCTCGTCTCATCCGAGTGTACCGGGGTAAAATCAAGATTATGAGGGTCTCCTGAATACGCTACTTTAAGACAATTAATGCTGATGCCCTCATTAGTTTTTATTAAACGATATAGTGCTTAAGTTTACTCTGAAGGAATTTGAAGTTTCCTCAGCATACTACGTCAAGAAGTGGTCGTAATGAGTAGCAACGTACAGAAACGTGTGTACTATATCATAAGGCAGGTTGAACAAAAGCGTCAGTTGACTGCGGTCATGTGGGAACAGGTTTAACCGAACACATGGCTTTTGTATGCCTGCTTTAATAGGAGTTTAGATCCGTATTCACCGAAAAACATGAAGGACTTACGAATTCTCTAGGAAGTTAGAATGTCATTCCGTGAACGCGTTGTCCTGCACTGCATCCAATGCCAGCTTACACCGTATTGAGAAATACCAAGAGACACGAGTGGAAAAATATGCAGCTGAGAGTGAAGCCTTAAGCTGTCAGTGACATCGTTCTACCACTCGTTTGCTTGTGGATCATAGACGGTCGTTCTATAGTGTAGTAAGACAACGAAAAAGTTCAGATTAAAACTGGCGTCCACAGTCTAGTGGTAATTGAGGGAAAGTTGAGGACTGCTACTCATCCTTCGATGAAGGTGAGGGCCGCTGTTTCAGAAGTAACGTCCTTGATAAGTACTGCTTTTGGCCATCGTGTGAAACGGTACATATACGTTAGAAGGTAAGAGCATCGATTTGATCCTAAGAAAGTTCCTATAGAACTGTGGTATACTTCGTTATTTGTACAGCTCTAATATTAGACCTAATCCTCAACTTGTAGGTTTGTCATAATGTGACTACCTACTCTGTAGGATCATATGTGAAAGTTACATCATTGTCTACACTGTTTCGTCCTATCGTAAGAATCATTAATATATGATGGAGAACACATTTAAGCTGGAGATGGAACAATATACTAAAAATCAATAGACGAGGCAAGTTACACATGAATGATCACACCCGCAAGGCTGAGCCATGCCGTCCTATTGAATTAAATTAATCCTTCCCGCTTTCTTGATTTTTGGGTTTTCTCCGCGTTAAATGTTGAATATCTATTTTTCCATTTGTTTGGTGTTCAGCTTTGGAGATTATGTGGTTGGGGCCCAATGCCACTGCAGTCCTACCAAATACATATGAACATGGTTGGAACGAGCGTCGGGAGTATCGGAAGAGCTTAAGGGACATTTGTTGTGTCTAATCACTATAGAGTGCTGGAGGCGGCGAGACTATAATTTAGGGACGAGCCAATCAGAAGTGTTCGAACAATTTCAAGGTCACGGAGCCAAGTTCAACACGCGCTGCTAACATACGATGGCAGCGCTCCAGGGGTATCGCGATACTGCGTTTACGTCCATATGTACAGACATATCTCACGAAAAAGTACTTTAGGGTTGGTTCATCACTGTTCTTTTTGCATACTGACATAACGTACTTAGTATGTGTATACTAAAAAAATAATTATTAACCACAGAAGTCATATTACCTTATGTACTTCTTTCAAACAGGTCTCAAAATTGTCCCAACTTGTAAATCTTCGAGATAACATAGTATCATTGAAGATTCGTCCTATATCATGCATCATCACGATGGCATCGTCTTCGTTATTTGAAGAATGAACGTTACCAGACATGGTGTGGCTGAACTCAATTCAAATCTAAAAATGTCTCGATTTGACCGCTTCTGAAAACTTTCACGAATTGTCGGTGTGACGCGCCAATCATTTTGCGACAGTTTGACCTTCAAGTGCTCGCAACCCCCATCAGTGGACGAAACCCTAGGAGCGTTGCCACATACGATCGGTTTATAGCGGATTTTAGAGAGTAGGTGAATAATGAGAGGTTACAACAGATGGGACGGCGAGACTCTAATTTAGGGACGAGCCAATCAGAAGCGTTTGAGCAATTTCAATTATCAGTCAATCAGAAGACAGCATAAAGTAAAAATACATTTAAAGAAAGTAATAAATCACAGTGGGTATTCTTCTTTGACATGATTTAAAAACTCGTATGTTAGCATCCTAATCCTAACCTTAACCCTAACCCTCACCTAAATCTAACCCTAAACCCTAACCTTAAACCCTCACCTAACCCTAACCCTAAACCCTCACCTAACCCTAACCTTACCCGTAAACCTAACCTTAACCCAAAAGACGAGTTTCTATTCCATATGCATTGTGACTTCAGAACCTGTGAACCTTAATCAAACCTTAACAAGTTTTTAAATCATGTAAAAGGAGAATATCCACTGTAATTCATTACTTTCATATAAAATATTTTCACCTTATACTAACTTTCTTCTGGTTGTCCAATGATTGTCAAGGTCACTTAAGACTCGTTCAAAGGTCGTCCTTAAATCAGAGTCTCGCCCTGGAGGCTTACACAGAAGCGTGCCCACATCCTCACGTCTTTATTCATACAAAGCCAGAAAAATCATTCTGCTATGGACTTGATGGCTGCTCGAGCACCTGAATGGGAAAACTTGTGGATCATATTGAAGATGTCATGTCGATAATGATTCGGCACTTTTGGACGATCCCCACCTGTATATATGTCACATAGTAAGCTAAAGTACACTGAGAAATGTAAACCAGTCGACGAAACTCTCGAGTGGAGTATCTATATAAAGATGAGCTAAGAGAGAAGATGGGAGGTCTGTGGTTGGCAAATAGAATGAAGTTTCGAACTTCTGCAGTGTTGAGAGTGCCGTACAGTACAACAAATGGCAAGCATTCTCTACCGAAAGTGCCATACCTCGATTCAGTGCCTCGAGACCGTTTCGAGAAGAATCCCAAAGATTGTTAGCTGTTGTTTATGCATTGTTGTAAGATTCCTCGGACAGCCGAGTCGGATGCGTCTATTGTGATATTGATCAGTACTTTGATATCCTGGTGTGCGAGCATAGTTGAGTTCGCAATAACTGCCTTAAGTGAGGAGAGTGACTATTCGCATTGTCGTCCAACTTGATGATTTCGACATTCCCACGATGTTGGTCTGTCAAGGATCTCATGAGAGACACGTAATTCGGCATGAACCTTCGACAGATACTTACGAGGCTGTTAAACATACATAACTACTTGTTTGTGGTCATTTCTGGATAATCCAGAATACTCACCACATTGCCGTGTGAAGGTTGGGTGCCTAAAGTGTCAATATTATGTCTGACATTGCTGAATGTTTATAGTAACTCTATGTTTTTGAAGTCACTGGCAAACAAGTTGCAGACGCTGAAAGTGAGGTTCTCTGTCCGGAGTTGAAATCAAACAGTCATCTAAATATTAGTACAAGATGATACCTCGAAAGGCGTTGTTGACGAATCTCTGAAAAGTTTGTGCAGTACTTATTAAACCGAAAGGATTGGGCAAACATTCGTGAGATCCGAAGGGGTAATGATTGTTGTTTTAGACATTCCGTGAGCAGCCTAGGGAATTAGGTTGTACATTTTAACCAGATCGGTTTTGAAAACAATATTGTGCCTTTTAAAGTAGCTTCAAAAT